AGAACCATCAAGCCACTTCCTTTTTCTTTTTTCTTTGGGAGCAGTGAAATTGTAACCACTATTAACTGCCTTTGTGTTACCTTATTTTCAGGCTGAAAAATTTTAAATTCTTAAATATTATAAATCATTTCCTTTGTGTGGTTCCCCTGGAAGACTTCTAAAATAGTTTGTTAAACTAGCTGTACTCTTCAAGAATTACTCTTAGAAATGTTTTATTACTGATTTTCTTTCTTTCTTTCTTTTTTGGTACCGGGGATCGAACTCACGACCTTGCGCTTGCCAGGCAGGCACTTATGCCACTGAACTAAATCCTCAGCCTTATTACGGATTTTCTTAAAATGAAACAACTAGGGGGTTGGGGATTTAGCTCAGCGGCATAAGCGCCTGCCTTGCAAGCAGGCAGTCGTGAATTTGATCCCTGGTACCGATAAAAGGGAAAAAGACCAAAAAAAGGAAAGAACTAAATATTATCGTAATAATTTTAAATTTACTAATTCTATCCTTTTCTCATTAAAACACATCCATAAAGCACATTCATAAAACACATCCATATTTTGACTTTTGTGCATTTATGAGACAGCTCCCTGAATCAGATCCTCAGGAGTTTTGTGGCCCTGATGGAGTTGTTTTGTGAGACGCCATTGAGCCGAGAGTAACAGCCTTTCAGCATTTATGGAGTGTAATTATGGTTCTCTGAAAAACTGGCATGTTTAGGTAGTTTTCTAATCTGTTCTACATATTGCTAACCATAACAGCCTCTTAGGTGCCTAGTGCACTAATAATAAGCACAGATTTATCTGTAGAACCCTAGTTTAATTGTAGTATTGGGATGTACCCCAGAGCTTCTGACATGCTAGGCAAGCACTGCCACTGAGCGACGTCCCAGTACTAGTGCTAGCTTTAAAAAGTATGTTTGAGAGCATACGTATTATAGCGCACATCAGGCTAAGGTATAGTTACTGGCTCTTTTATAAGTAATTTAAAGGCATTTTTTACCTTTATAGTTGTTCAACATGTGTGTCCAGAGAATGAACAAAATGGTCACAATTTCGTTTGTTGTGCTGCGTAACACTTTTGCGCTGAAATCAGACTGTTGACATGTTGACCCCAGATTATACAAATGTTCTAGCTGTTGCGATGCTTACTTAGATTCTAGCCACATTGCTTGGCTTTCCGTGTCTGTTTGGTGCAGTGGGGTAAGGAGAATGGGCAGGATAGACGATGGGGCTTTCCTCAGAAGTTGAGAACTGTTTGAACCTTGGACTGCTGTGACTTTGCTGAGTGCAGTGGTTGGGGTTTACTTCATGACCATGTAGTCCCTGTGAAGGCTGTTCCTTAACACTGCTGTGTAAGGCCCAGGAGGAAATAAGCCTGGCACTTCGCAAGACTGAGTTCCTTGAGCACAGCCCTGGGTCTGCCTGGCCTCTCCTTGCCTCTCTAGCAGAGGTTAGGGACCCGGATACTCTGTACCTGCAGGTTCTTCCTGCGTTGATTTAGAGTTGCACCAATAAAGCTGAAATGAGAAATAGGTAGACCTTGTGGAAGGCTGCATTCATTTTGAAAGCCTTGGAGCACTTCAGGTCGTCAGTCCCTGGGAGGCCCTGACTATCACCAGCCTGCTGCATTGGAAGGTTTGGCTTGTAGGAGCCATGGACAATGATGGAGCAGGGATAATGAGGAGCACAACCAGCTGAGAAAGAAGCAGGTGTAGAGTGATATATCCCAGTTGTTTTGAAACTGTCTTGTTATGTTGTCCAGGTGTTCTTGATTTCCTGAGGCCCCAGGACATCCTGACTTTGGCTATTTTCAGTCAGGGCCTGGCTATGTAGGCTGTCCTTGAACTCATGGCAGTCCTGCCCCAGCCTGCAAAGTCTGGGAATACAGGCATGTGTATCATGCCCAGCTACTATCTTGTATTTTGTATCAGGATATTACTTATATACATGTGAGTTTATAAACAATTCCAGTTTATTTATTCCTGCTGGTTAAAAGAAAGTCATAGTTCTTGTACTTTCTTGTGTATCTTCATTTGGGAGTTGAGCTCAGACTAGGGTTTTCTGAAATGTTAAGAAGTTCTAAGGGCTAAAGGTGTAGCTTAGTAGTAGAGTGCTTGCCTGGTATGTGTAAGGCCCTGGGTTCAATACCCAGAACCGCTAAGAAAGAAAAAGAAAAAATTCTTACCATATAGCCAGACTTCTGTTTGTTTTGGTCCCAAACACAGTGAAAGATGTTTTGTTGCTCCTGATCTGTTAACTGCATCCTGATCATATCATCCTTTAGGGCTGTTAGCCAGAAATGAAGTTTTCTGTCTCTCTCTCCCTCTCTCCTTTTGTCTCTCTTTTTGCCTTTGTTAATGCTTCTGTAATATTAAAAACAGAGTAATGGTCCAGAAGCGTGGTACAAGGAGGCGGCCAGTGGTGGGGTAAAAGAGGAAGCAGAAAGTGTCACTTGCGCTCCAGAAAGCTGGTCCAAAGCTGGGTCTGTGCGGTTTTAAACGGCAGGGTGTGGTGACACACACTGGTGCCACCTGAATTGGAATCATTATTCCACTTATGCTATACTTAGCCCACTCTGCAGGGAACAGAGTTGCCTATTTTGGAACGTTTTACTCACCCAGGTGCAATGAAAACATTTGGCAGCTGCTGCTTTATACACTCGGGTAGGTCAGGTGAGCCTGCCTGTGAGCCTCTTTTTTATGTTTTGGTTTTTTTGAGTCAAGGTCTTGCTGTGTGGTTTAGGCCTAGCCTTGAATTCATTATGTATAGCCCAGGCCTGCCTCAAACTCCTCTTGCCTCAGCCTTCTGAGCATTGGGATTACGGTTGTGCCATCCCACCTGCCACGAACCCCTTCTTACTTGAGATGCTACTCTGTGTGGTGTGTTCTCTCTGCTAGTCTTCTCTGGGTTAATCTTATCCTCCTTTGGTATTCTTAGACATTTTATTCTTAGAAGTCTTTTATACTCGGGGTTGGGGATTTAGCTCAGTGGCATGAGACCTGCCTTGCAAGCAGGCGGTGGTGAGTTCGATCCCCAGTACCGATTTAAAAAAAATAAATAAATAAAAAGTCTTTTATACTCTTAAAAATTTTTGAAGAGCTAAAGGACTTTTATTTATGAAAGTCTTACAAATATTATGTTAGAAATTAAAATTGAGAAGTAGAAAAATGTTCTTTCATTTTAAGCAGGAACAATAAACCCATTATTTTGATGTATAACTAAATACTCTTGTTTTTATAAGGCGGTTTTTTGTTTTGGAAACGTGATTAGAAAGAAGAGCAGCACTGTGTTTTTGCAGCTGGCCTGAACGTGCTGTTGAAGACAGCTGGGTTCTCCTTTCTGCATTTGGTCTTTGGTCCCAGCACCCATCCTGTTGCTCCTGGAAGCCCCATTGTATACTCCTGAGAAAATGAAATGGCAAACACATCTTAGTGTTCTTGGGAAAGCGGTTTGACCTCAAGGGCTCCCTGGAGGGTCTCAGGGACTTTCAGAGGCTTTGGGCCACACTTTGAGAACCATTGCTTTAAATCCCAGTTCTGTTGTCACTTCTCTAGCGAAGTCTTCCCTAACCTTTCGTACTGGTTCTCCCTTTTTCTGACCTAGTAGTAGTATGTACCTCTCGTTTGTAGCATTTATGACAGTAGCTTTTAAAAATGTTTAATATGTGCTTCTATTGGGCTCCTTTGGATTAGGGCTCATCCATGGTGCTTTGCATCTCATGGTTATAACCAGTTCTTACCACAGGGCCTCCAAATATTTAAATAAAGGAGTACATGAATTTAAATAAGCAGACTTCTTGAATTCAACTCAGCTACAAAATTTGTCTTAAAATATGAAGCCTTCTCTACATGGCATGTATTGTATTTCTTTTTCTTTTTTGTTTTAGATTGGTCATTCCTAGGAGATTGATTATACCGCTATACTGAACTTGCATAACACTGTTCTAGGCTGGCTGCTATGCCCCTGCACTGCAGTACATTGTTTTTGCCTGCTCTCTCCTTGACTAGCTTCCTAGCTGTTTTTAGGGCTAGGGTTGTAATTTATATTTTCAGTCCACTTCTAATGTCCCAGAATTTGATTTGAAAAGGTGTGCATACTCCAAATGCAAGTAAATGTAAATATTTTAATCAAAAAAGGGCCCAGAGTATGACTTTTTTTTTTTGGCAGGTTTCCTATATAATTCAAGCTGGTCTTAAACCCACTGTGTATCACAGGCTGGTCTCAAATTTGGAGCGATCCTCCTGTCTTAGCCTCCCAAGTGCTGGGATCAAGTTTATAAGAGCCCTGAGTTCAGTCCTTAGCACCCAATAAGTAAATTAGTTGGTAAAATTTTGACCAAAGGGAAGTTATCTTCTTAAGATAGGGATTACTGACAGTTTATTAATGAATTATTTTACATACCATTTTCTTTTAACATTGCCCGTTAGGTAGTCTGATTACCAGGAAAAAGTTGTGGTGATCAGATTCTGAGTTTTCTATATATGTGTTATGCATAGGTCACCCTGAGTTCACCAGATATTTGAGTTACAGACTATCTTGTGTTATACTGCTGCTGGAAGCAAGACATACTCAATTTATGCCCTCAAGGAGTTGTGGTCTAACAGTTAGTGCAGTTCAGGAATTGGTAGACTTTCTGTAAAGGCCAACATAGTAAATATTTTATTTAGGCTTTGTGAGCCATATGGTCTCTTATCTAGATCTTCAGCTCTGCCATTGTGACCCTAAAGTAGTAAGAAACACTGTAAATAAGTAAGTGTGACTGTTTTCCAATAAAACTTTGTTAATAGGAACAGGTAGCTGCTCAGATTTGCCTATGGGATGTAGTTTGCTGGCCTTGGTCATTGTTTTTTGGTCAGTGTCTCATTCATAAAACCATACAGCAACTTTCATTAAGCATTCCATTAATGTACTTGTTAGCTCTGACAAGGTTATAAAAGAACTGACTCTTGAACAGTGAACAAAAACTAACTTCTTTTCTTTTACATCTTTACTCTTTTTTTCTAGGACATTTTATTTCCTTACATCAAAGAAAATGTGCAGGAGTATCTGGAGGCACACTGGGAGGAGGAGGAGTGTCGGCAAGACGTCAGCCTTCTGAGGAAGCAGGTGAGGCTTGCCCTTGCTCCTGTGTGTCTTAAGATGGTGGCTGGCTGGAGGGTTAGCGCGTGCAGAGCACAGGGTAGAAGCAGTGCCCTGCATTCACAGCGGAGGCAGGTCCAGTGACTTGCCTGGTGAATATACACAGTACATATGACCTGCGGTCTGTAGAATGCTCTCTTTTGGAAGCTGTTTACATTGCACAAAAAGATCATGCAGTTGTAAAAGTAAGCCCTTCTTGGGTGCATTGGAGAAGGTTTGAGTAGTCTTAACAGGTTCCATTGATACCACCAAGTGGTTCTGTAGCTTACTGCCAGGAGGCAGCAACCCTCACTGCCCTTCATGGAGCTTCTGGGTTGTCCCACATCTTCTTCTCACCAAGCTCACACCTGGCCCACCCTGCAGCCCCACCCTGGTCTCATGCTCTCCACTCAGCTACCCACCTTGCACCCCAGTTCCTCTTCTGTCTTCCCTGTTGTATGCTGTAGAGTTCCTGTGCTCTTGATTTTCTTAGCAAAATCCTTCAGTGACAAAGCTCTTCCACGGTGCACACCACTAGTTCATCGGCAGTCAGTTTTCTCACACTGGGTATCAAAACATCCTGTATATTTCGCGTGTAAAGTCAGGCATTGAGGTTGCGTTGAGAACACAGTCATGATCTTGGAGTTCATGAGGTTTTAGGTTTTGAATTTTCTACTTAATTCACTATTAACTTGAAATAACCCCATCTCTCTTTAGAAAAAATTATCTCAACCCTTATTGAAACATACATATTCCTCTGTTATATAAAGAAGATACATAATCTTTAGAGATTGTATTTTATTGTAATAGGGTCTTGTTTTAAATGTTAAGAGTTTTCACAAGATGTGGGAAATCCTAGGAGGCTGTGTATAAACCATTTATATTCACTAGCTTTTTGTTTTTGTTTTTTTGAGGCAGGGTTGTACTATGTACATAGTCCAGGTCAGCCTTGAATTCATTATATAGCCCATAGGAGTGCCCCACCACACTAGGCTTCATTAGCTTCTTTTCATTCAATTCGAGCTATGAGCTAATTTATAAGATGTTCTGTTTCTTTTTCAGTTATAGTGCAGAGAAAATGATCAGATTTAAATAAAGTTCTGGTTTGTTGATCTTAAGAAGTGAATCAATAAACCAAGTCATCTTATGTCCTTAACTTGCTACCTTCTCATACACAGCCTGGGTCTTGGTTTAAATTTTGACTTTAGCAAGCTAAGAAAGATGAGGTAAATTTATGAATTATAATCTTGGGTTTTTTTTAATTTTTATTTTTTTTTGGTGAGACAGGGTCTCACTATGTAGTTCAGGCTGGCTTGGACTCACTGTGTAGCCCAGGCTGGCTTTGAACTTGCCATGATTCTGCCTCAGCCTTCTGAGTACTGGGATTACAGGTGCGCAACACAATGTCCAGCTATAATCTTGGTTTTTAGGGACCATTCTTTTTTGCAGCATGGAGGCTTCCTAGGGTTTCACACTGTTACTTCTCCAACTCTTTTTTTTTTGAGACAGGGTTCACTCTGTAGTTCATATTAGCCTTGAATTCATGGTGAGTCTCCTGTCTCAGCCTGCCAAGTGCTAGAATTACAGGCATATGCCACTACACCTGTGTATTTTTTCTTTTGAGTCAGGTTCTCATGGAATTGCCCAGGCTGGCTTCAAACTTGCAGTCCTCCTGCTTCAGGCTCCCATGGAGCTAGATTACAGGCATGTGGCACTGTGCCTGGCTAGTGATTGTTCTCTTGGTAATCTTCTGCAGCAATTCGGCAGCTAATAACAGTTGGAGAAAATTGATCTGCTTGGCTTTGGAGTCTTTCTAATGTTCTTTTTAAAAATATGCATGAAACAAACTTCCTGTTTTTCTGACTTTAAGGCTGAGGAAGATGCCCACCTGGATGGTGCTGTTCCAATCCCTATGGTGTCTGGGGATGGGGCTGATGACTTCCAGCAGACGATTCAGGCTGTGGTAGACAATGTGCACTGGCAGATGTCTCTGGACCGGAAGACCACAGCGCTCAAACAGCTGCAAGGCCACATGTGGAGGGCGGCGTTCACAGCTGGACACGTGAAAGGAGAGTAGGTGCTCAGATGAGTGAGCTTTCACCACCCCCAAATCCAAATATGCTTCTCATTAGTCCTCTCTCTCCCCATTGTACATTGCATGATTAGTAAAATAGATAAAATCAAGCATTAGTTTTATTTAACAAGTGAATTGTTTTGTTTTCTTTTTTCCATAGCAGAGCTAATGTGTTTCACTTAGCAAAATTCCCCAAACCTGCATGGATGGCTTTGCAAATGATGGAATAACCTTTAGTCATAGCTTATAGCAGCTTCCTTGCACACAGTGACTGCTAGGCTGATCCTTAGCACACAGATGACAATACTGTTGGTTTGCTTCCTAGGGCCAGCAGATTACCTGCTTTTTGCTCTGCTAGAGAAGTGAAAATTTGTGAAATTATGTAGCGTCACATTGATATCACTTGGGATGCCAGGTCTACTACTTTTTCTGTGCTTTTTGAGTACCTTCCAGAGACCTGAGTCTTGGTTTTGGAGTCCCTACTAGCTCTCCTAACTGAGGAGGCTCAAGTGCTATCTGCAGCTCTGATCCAAGCCCATTTCCAGCTGCCATACCACATTTGGGAGATGATCTGTGTTACATTACAAGGATCAGCTACCTTTTGAAGAATACATTGGAATTTCAGGATATGCCAGTGACCTGAGAATATCAGCCAGTTCACTCTGTAAACTTTCACAAGTGTTGCTTTCCTAGTAGTTAGCTCTTCTCTTCTTTCCTCAATTATAAAACCAGAAACTTAAAATAAATTACCTTAAATTTCTTAATACCTGCTTTTAAAAGTACTTGGTGCAAATTCACACCAAAAAAATCCAAAATAACAGACTTAGAATTAAGTGGATTGGCTTTGACATGTCCAGCCAGCTCTTTTTCAACAAAGGCAGTATACTAACCTGTTTTATTTGGTAGGTGCTGGACATTTTTCAGTAATCTTTTAAAGATTGTTCCACATCCCAGGTTCTCTGTGCTTTTCACTTCTTCCTGTTACACTGTTTCCATTACCAACTGGAAATGCTATAGAATTGATAAAAGAAACCAAGGCTGGGCACATGTAATCTCAGCATGCGGGAGGCAGAGGCAGGAGAAATGTGAATTTGAGGCCAGCCTAGGCTTGAACTCAAGGCCAGTCTGAACTACATAGTGAGACCCTGTCTCAGAAAAAATGAAAAAATTCAAAACTGTCAGGAATCTGAAAACCAAACATTGATTACTGCTTGTCTAATGTTGAGATGATTAAAGTCTCTTACCTGACTTGTCCTGAAAGGTTTTTTATCCTATGTAATAAAAGTTTGTTTTCTTAGTTTTCAAGAAAATGTAACACTGTTTTCTAGCTAATCCAAGATTTACAGCCTTGAGCGCCAGACTTTTTTTAAAAAACTGTTTTGGATGCAGATCTTTTCCTAAAAAGACCTTCCGTGCTTTCTTAAAACACAGTGGATATAAACTTTCTTGTAATCAAAGATTATATATAATGCAGTACTATTGCTGTCATTTTTTTAAGTTTCTTTTTTTTTTTTTGGTCTTTTTCGTTTTCATCGGTACCAGGGATCGAACTCACGACTGCCTGCTTGCAAGGCAGGCGCTTATGATGCTGAGCTAAATCCCCAGCCCCTCATTTTTTTAAGTTTCTTGAGAAACTTGAGTCACTTATTTCATCCCTTTATCTGTAATCCTTTGCTGTAGAAAATTATTCTTACCACTCAGATTGTTCCTGCTAATCTGCCATAGTCCTGACATTGACACATTTTTGAGAACTGCAGGAGTGTTAGTTGTGTAGAGTTGTTCCATTTGGACACAAATAGAAGTGCATGGCATTTATTCTGTCTGGTTTTCATGGGCCTCCATGAAGTGTTCATGAGGTTTAACCTGACTCTCTTTCCCTTTAGGTTCTTTGCAGATGTAGTTCCTGCAGTGAGGCAGTGGAAAGCGGCTGGAATGAAGGTGTATATCTATTCTTCAGGGAGCATAGAGGCACAGAAACTGTTATTTGGGCATTCTACAGAGGGAGATATTCTTGAGGTAGGTTACTTGGTTTGTTTTCTTTTGGCACTTTCAAAGCTTGAAATACGAGCAAGGAATGTGTGTGGTGGTGCACGCTTGTAAATCTAGCATTCAGGAAACAGGCAAGAGGATCACTGTGAGTTTAAAGCCAGTCTGAACTATGAGACTCTCAAAAAACCAAAAAGAAAAAGAAAAAAAGAAGTGGTCCTGCCTAGGGAAGCGTGAAATATGTGATGCCAGTTTTTGAATTAAAATCTCTTAAACTTTGTTGTATATCAGGATCACCTAAGGAGTTTGTTAAAAATGTAGATCCCTGGACCTTGCTTCTGAGCAAGTCTGATAGGCAGATCTAGAGTAGGGCTGCAAGCTTGCATTTAAACATCCACCTGAGGTGATTTTAGATGAGGGCAAATATGGCTACTCTGTGTATGCAAAAACATGCATGTATGTACAAACACACGAACTCCTGAGTTAGCATGTAAGTTAGCCATCTCATGAGTATTAGGAAATCAGCACCCAAAAGAAGGTAGGGAAGTGTTTTTTGGTTGTATCAAATAAGATATCAAAAATCACTTTAATTAAATTTATAATTTCTATATAAAATTAAAGTTTATTCTGCTTAGATTTGGTGGTGCATGCCTATAATCTGAGCTACTGAGGAGGCTGAGGCGGGATTGCAAATTTGAGGTCAGCCGAGGCTAAAAAGTGAGACCTCTGAAATTAAATTTTAAGAAAAGGCTATAGATACAACTCAGTGGTAGAGCACTTGCCTATCATGTGGAACATGTACAGGAAAACAAATGTTTATTTTGTCTTGAAAAATAATAAAATTAGATAAAATGAATAAAGGAGTGTGTTTGTGTGGGAGTGTGGCTGGCTAGGGTCTGAACGCAGGGCACTGTGCATGCTGGGCAAGTGTTACACTACTGAGCCATTCCCCAGGCCTCTTAAAAGGCTTCTGAAGGCAGCAGATCACAGGGTAGTCTCATTTGTTTCTGGCACTTCAGGGAGGTACGGGTTTTATTTCAAGAGAAAAAAATTGCCCTGCATTATTATGTAAGATAGTTGGGCACGTTGTCAGGCACAGTGATAAATAAAGTGACCTATTTACACATTTCCTGTACCTGAGAAGATTCCTGCTCGACTCTGTCACAGCTTCGCGACCCCTTGAGGATAGGATAGGGTCGTGGAGAAGGGAGTTCATTTAAAACTTTAAAAAGGAGTGCTGGCGGTGGTTGAGGCTGTAACTCAGGAATAAAGCATATGCTGGGGGTTCAGTCCCAATTACAAAGAGAAACGTGCTCACAACTGAATATAGGGTGAACTCAGTGACACCCAAGTAACTTGGCCAGGTAACTCCTTCTCTTCCTCCCTCCCTTCGTCTCTGTCTGTCTGTCTCTCCCTCTCTCCCTCAGTGCTTGGGATTGAATCTAGTTGAATCTTGCACCTTGTGCATTCCGGGCAAGCACTCTGCCACTGAAATAAACAGTGAGTCTCAGCCTTGAAATAAACAGTGAGTCCTTCGAGTTTGTGGAGAATACTTTTGCTTTTGAGGTTGTCCCATTTAATATTCCTGCTTCTCATCTTATTTCTAAATCAGATATGAAACTGATAGTGAAACCTTTTAGTCACTAGTGACTATCCTCTGAATACAGATACGAATCTCTTTGCTACTCTCTCACACAGTAGGCAATAAGCTGAAAGGGCGCAGGGCATGGCAATTACCTACTGAGTTCAGTAATAAAAATCTTCCTGTTTAGGTACCAAATAAGGCAGAATGATAGAAAAGGAATAGACAAAAACAATCTTAAATTTAAAAAAACCCTTAACATTTCCTTATTCTCAGTGATTATTAGACTTGTTTTTAGTTTGTGAGAAGTTCTGAAGACATTCAGATGATCACATAATAATAGCTAATCTGGGATATGGGTTTATTGGGTTTATTTTAATTACTGTTGGTTATAAGCAAGTGACATATTTGACTTCAGTTACTTCTAAGATGGTTAGGAAATCCACTAGCAACACAAGGATAGAATTGAAAAAAATTTTAATTAGAAAATGAAGGTTTTTTCTGAAAGTAAAGTAACAGCCTTTTTGTTTGTTTGGCACTAGAAATCAAACTCAGGACCTTGCACTTGCCAGGCATCCGGTTGTGCCACTGAGCTATATCCCTGGCCAAAGCAATAGCTTATTAATGACACAAATTGGATGCATCTTTTCATTCTAGGATCAGAAGGATAATTTTTAGATCTTTTCTTCAAGAATGAAACCCAGGGCTTGGGGATTTAGCTCAGTGTCCTAAACGCCTGCTTGGCAAACACAAGGTCAAGAGTTCAGTCCCTGGTACCAAAAACAAAAAAAATTAAACCCAGTCCATTGACTAATTTGAATACAAATAGTGTTTTAAGGATAGAATGTAGAGAATGTATATCTCTTAATGATTTTGGATATAAAAGGAATGCCAGTGAAAATCATGTGGTGTATAATCTTAGGTATATCTTCTTCCAAATGTTTATTGCTATAAAACCTTTATGTTTACTTTTTTGAGTGGCCATGAAGTTCTGTTATAGATGTCGGGCAAGTATTTAATGAATGAAGTCACTATGATTTCATGCATTTCAGGGAAAAAGGATCTAAGACAAAAGGATTTGGTGTCAGTGTTAGTCTTTCTCTCTTCTCTTCGTTCAGCTTTTTGATGGTCACTTTGATACCAAGATTGGACACAAAGTGGAGAGTGAGAGTTACCGAAAGATTGCCGACAGCATTGGGTGCTCAACCAGCAACATCTTGTTTCTGACGGATGTTACTTTAGGTGAGTAGTCAGCCCAGGCTGGCCGGAACTCTTGGGCTGAAGCACTCCTCCTGCCTTATCCTCCTGAGTTGCTGGGACTACAGGCACATACTGCTGTGCCCACTGGACTTCTTATGTTACATATTTCAGGGGTGGAACTTGGCCTGCTACTATAAACACATTTAAGAAAAAAAGTTTATGTGGGGATTCTTGAAAAATAAAATAATTGTATAAAAAGAAGCAGTGAGCCATCTTACCCACTTCTGTCTCCCTTTATTACTCCTTGGAGTTTGTAACATTAGAAAGACTAATCCTGCTTGCTTAATTCCTTATTTATGGTTACCCATCGTCCCTCTGTGCATGAATGGCATGCATATAAAAATGGAAAACCTAGAGCTGTCACTGTAGAGTGGAGCGTTCAGGCAGGACTGTGGGTGATGGTTAGTTAAGGGCATTAAAGTAACAGTGAACCTGTACCAGACGCATTTAACAGAAACGAGGCCAACACGAGCCTTGAGAAAAAGAAGAGAGCAGGAACTACACATAGTTTAAATCTGCCAGTGATTCCAATGGATGCATTCCGTTGACATCCATGAGAGCAGAAGTATCTGTCTCCCCTTGGCTGTTGTGTTCCCTAGGTGCTGCCAGGTAGAAAATCTCAGGCTTCATCATATTGGATTTACAGTGTAACGATTCACATAATTTTTACCCAGCCTGGCCCTCTTTATTATGCCCAGTACATTAGCGTTATACATTATCACTTTAAGTATTGAATGCACAAAACAGTGTGCAATTTACTGGCAATATAAATGAGTTCTATAGTTCTTTCCACTAGAATAGACACTTCTGCTCTGTTTGTAAGAACATGAGTCCTCTAGGGAAATTTAGAAGGGAAAGTCAGTGAATGAGAACACCAGAAGCGCAGGTGCACAGGAAAGTGGGCTCTGTGGGTTTCCCTGTGGGCCGCCAGGCGGGGAAACTTTCCACGCTCTTCACCCAGAACTCCTGCCTCCCATTGTACCTCCAGTGGACCACATCTGGTGTTTGTAACTGTGTTTGCACTTCAGGGCAGCTCTGCATATTTGTGCTCTTTCCTTTCTACTTGGGGTTGTAAATTTCTCGAACTGAGATCACACCCTGTTACTCCCAGAGTAAGACATTGTGCACTATCCTGGGACTTTCAAGAGACCTTGTCTGTGATAGGGACATAGGGTGGTGTATTAGCTTTCTCCTTGCTGGAATCAAGTACTTTGCCTCAACCTAAAGAAGAGGTTTATTTAGCTCATAGTTTCAGAAGTCAGTCCATGATTGGCTGGTTAGGGCAGCCCAGAAGCAGAACAGTGGAATAGTGCCAGAGGGGAGGAGTGAGCCCCACCAAACACACCCGGAAGTGTGCTTTCCTGATTCCCTAGATGACTCCCAAGTCCATCAGGTTGACAGTCAACCATAACCCTCAGCTGGGGAAGGGCACTGGGGAGAGGATGCCAAGGGGAGGAGGCCACTGCTTTGTTCCACACAGTACCCAGGCCTCATGGAAGAGGCTTCCATGGTCTGTGGCAAGCTGATTCTCTGCAGCCCTTTCTGGGTGTTACCACACAACTAAGTCACTTTCGCAGGCCAGGAGTCCGAAGGAAAATACAGCTGCTACTGAAGTTTCTTACCTCAAGTAGTGAATCCGAACTACATGTTTTTCTCTTTTGCTGGCTTTTGAGCTTTTGGTTTAATGTGACAGGCAAGATTTACAGGTTCAAATTTGCTAAGCTGTTTTAAAAAAACTGTTAACCAGCACAGATCACTTAGTGCCTTTAGAAGTTACATCTCTTCCAAACAAATACAGAGAGAGCAAGGCTAACATCTATAGGTCACTGATGTCTAAGTAGATATTCAGTCCATTACTGGGGATGAACTCAAGGAACTCTGAGCTGTTCCCGGCTCCTTTTAAGACAGGTATCATTAAGTTGCCCTGGTTGGCCTCAAATTTGTGGCCCTCTTGGCTCAGCCTCCTGAGTAGCTAGGATTATTGGAGTGTATCACTGAGCCTGGCTTTGGTATAATACCTTTTGTTACATTTCAGTCCTAGGTAAATGGACTAGAATGTTTAATCTAGGTAAACAATAACAATTCATAGTGATTTGTTACCTTGAGATTTGGAAACTCAGCACACTGAATGGGATTAGTGGAATCAGCCTCTCCTTTGTTCCCTGGCTTGGGTCAGCTTCAGAGTTTAAGGCTTTCTATAAATTGCTCAATGTTTCTACTTCCTAGAAAGCTTGTTCTCACATAGACAGACACGCTGCTCTAAGGTTTATTGTTACTGAATTGCCAGGCCACAGGAAAGGCATTGTCAGTAAGTGTTGGACTAGGCTACCCCCATTTCACCTGGCCTCCCTCTCCCCTGAACCATAAAATGTTTGCCAGCCATGCCATGGATGTAGTTCAGCAGCACACGCTTGCTTGGCAAGTGCGAGATCTTGAGTTTGATCCTCAGTACCAAAAAAAAGTCATATTGCCAGTCATATTTCCGTATAGATCCTTGGACATTTTCAAGCTACCGTGTGTCCTTGGGTGGGTTTGGGGGACTTCAGACTGGCCCTGGCGAGGTGGCCTCACTGCAGCGTGAGGTAAGGGTGCACCGGCAGTCTCTGTTTGAAGAGTTTGAAGTCCTGTTGCTATGGTTTGTTCCTCATGGAAAGGAAATAGGTCTTGTTCTGGTGAGTTTAGCTGGTTTCATCTGCCTGTCTGTGTTCACATAAAGGAAAACTAAGTCTGCAGTTTACTTTCCATTTAATTACCTTAGCACACTGTGGTTGTCATTTGGGGTTTGTTTGAGCCGTGGTCTTGCTGTATAGTCCATTCTAGCCTCAAACTCATGAGCCTTCTGCGTGCTGGGATGGTAGGTGTTTATAGTCGTGTGCACCATGCCTGGCTTCCCTGGGACTCTGGATGGTAGATGTCTGTAAGTTTAGAATTACAGACCTGCTTTGGTTAGAACGTCCGTCCACCTGGTCAGCCCCTTCTCACTGCTCCAGTGCGGGGTCCCCAGACCTTCTCTTCATATCCTGCTTTTCGGTTAATGATTGTAATGCCTCCAAGACTACTTGTAGTTTCTTCATATTCTTGTCTTTAGTCATACATCTATAATTTTCTACTCATACGTCTACAATTTTAACTATTTTTACCGAAGCCATTTCCTTTGGTTACAGTTCTAGAAATTACTCCTAACTCCAAAGAAGAGTGATAATCCCCAAGTTAGCCTCAAAATGAAATTGACTACTCCATTTGAAGGTTTTATTCCTGCCCCTCATCTTTGCTGGCCTCCCCACCTCCTCAGGAGGAAGAGAAAGAACCAGATCGCGTGTCGCTGGGATGAACCCAGGGGCTGCCTCACTCTTCTTGGTGCCGGAGGCCTGTGTCTGGTACCTGTGTCCAGATCCCACTGCAAGGCAGCCAGGAGGTGCAGTCATACCCAAGTGTGAAAGAGAAAGTGGGAGACTTTCTCCTTGGCGATTACTCTGTCTTGTTGACAGAGTTTTATGTCAACAAGTACTTAAGCGACTCAGTATTTACCAGTAGAGCAAACATGCTGAAGAGAGACTCTTGTATCACAGACAGTCTGAACTCGGAGCAGCCACTGGCTGGCGTCCATTTGCCTGTGGCTATGATGCTGGCTGGATGAAGCTCTGCCTGGCAGTCAGGCTGGGAAGTGGGCAAGAAGAAGTTGCTTGTCTGCGGGACTCAGCTGAGACTTGGGAGAGGCAAGAGGGGCTTGTAGAAAAGAGCCGGAGATGGGCGCGAGAAACTGCTCTGCTCCACTAGGTCTCTCCAGGAGCAGCTCTGTCTGCTCTGCTGCCCTGCACTTGGCCCCAGAGGTTGAGAAGCTGCCTTTCAGTAATCCAAGCCTCAGTTTCCTAGAAGACGTGTCAGGTACCTTTACCTGGTACCTGTCTGTCCCAAGAAGTCACCCCTACCACATACCCATGTCCTGTTCCCCCTCCAGCTGCTCTGTGCTTAGTGCTTCCTTGAGTGCTTTGATTCCTGCCTACAGTGACTTTCTCTGTGAATTTCCTTTTCCTGAAGTTTTATCCTGCCTGCTCTGTGTGGAGGAACCATGTGGATCTTGATTCAGGAGTTCTGCGTTGGGGCAGAGGTGTGTCTCCCACCTGTCAGTACCCAAGAGCAGAAGCCAGCAGGCCTTTCCTGTAAAAGCCACAGGTAGACACTGCAACCTTTGCACTCTGTATCTCTTGTGTCCCAGCTGTTCAGCTGCCATAGTAGGGCCAGGCAGTCATAGATAGTACACAAATGAATGGGTGTGGCTCTGTACCACAGCAAGTGGCAGCCTGTCATTTGCCAACAGGTGTTCCAGAGCACAGACCAGGAAGTGAGGTTCACAGTTTAATCTGGCCACTTGTTCGCTCTTGGTTTGTGTATCAGTAGGGTGGATAAGGACACTGGCTCTTCAGGTTACTGTGTAGATTTAGACTAGAGTGGGTATTAGGCAGGCTCCATTAGGCAGGAGCTTTGTTTTGTTCATATAGCTCTGGTCCTAAAATAGTGTCTAGCACTTAGGAAGTGCTAAATTAATGGAAGATATTAGCTGTTATTTTTCAAATAGAAATAAAATGGAGAGAGCAATGCAGCCCAACATTTATTAGAGATATCGTTTGCAATACCTTGTTTACCTAGTTTAATTTACTCCTGGTTTATTCCACCCTCTCACACACAGAGTCACTGATCATAAAGCACTTACCGTCTAATAGGGGAGAAACAACAGGCCACAAATGCTCATTTGTGTTAATGTGACAGGGGATACAGGTGTTAGGGAACTTGTAAGATATACTATTCCAGATGATACTGGCTCTGCAAAACCATGTTTTGAACTGAATTTTGAAAAGTAGGAGTTTTCCAGGCCAAAGGGGAGGGTAGTGCAGGGAGAGCCGATGTTAGAGTGGGTCCTTCAGCCTGTTTAGATCACAGGATTCCTTCTGTCCCACATCTGTTTAATCGATGTTATTGCCTACAGCCTGCCCTTCTTTTGTTTTCTTTTTTTTTTTTTGTACTGGGGATCGACTCATGACTGCACCCATACAAGGCAGGCTCTTACACTTCTGACTAAATCCCCAACTAGCCTGCCCTTCTGGAGACACTCAGGTCTTGTGGGACTCATGGGAGAGAATGGAAGCAGATGGACAGACAGAATGCAGTTCTGTCATTCTGCACTCACGGGTAACACGTTTAGCGAAGCGTAGAAGTGTATAGGATACATTGCCCTTCTGCTGGGAGCAATTAGACTGTCTTTAAACATGGAGTTGAAACATGTGAGGAGAAGAAAATGTGTTCATCTTCGGGCATCAATAAAAACAGACCCAAGTTCGCTGCTCCCGTTGCCACGTCCACCCTAATGTTGTTGCAAATCCCAGCCGTGGTGCTTGAGTGTTTCTGACCCATTCTGACTTCCCACAGAGGCCAGTGCTGCCGAGGAAGCGGACGTGCACGTGGCCGTGGTGGTGAGACCCGGCAACGCAGGGCTGACGGACGATGAGAAGATTTACTACCGGCTCATCACCTCCTTCAGCGAGCTGCGCCTGCCATCGTCCACGTAGACAGGGTTCCTGGGGGACCCTCAGTGCCCTCAGTGCCCTGTGTGTGTGCGCAGATTAATTTCTGTGGGCACATACCAAAAAAAAAAAAGGTCTTCAGTTTGTTGGAAATGAGACATATTTAAAGATGCTTTATATGGAGACATTGTTTGAGTTGATAACTATCCCTTATTGAAAGCAAAGTGTAGTTGTTGAATTGCTAAACTATAGATCAGATATGTTAGTTTTATTAGGTCATTACCAAAAAAAAAATGGAAAGCCAGTTTTGAGATATTATTCAGAAATCTTTTTTTTTTAAAACTGCAAATAATGTCAGAGAGATTCCCAATAACAATTTGTTGTCCCTGCATAATTATGAGTTACAAGATTATAACAGCTGCATTTCATGTTTGCCTCCCTGTATAAAAGAAAAGTTGACCTGTTTCTGTTCAGCTAGAGCTTTGATCAATCAAATGTTTGTTATGGAAGAAGAGATGTGCTCATCACGTGGCTCTCACAGCAAACATTTGTCTTCTCAATGAAAGTGCCCTGATTCAGCAGCTAAAAGAGAAAGGTAGTGCTTAATGTTTAACAGAACAGTCCTAATCCTGCTGGGTGGTATCATCATAGATTTTACAGTTGTCTTTCTGTGTCTTAGCATACTTTGAGAATATATGTTAATTGTTATTTACTATTTTTCAAAAATTTACTGAAATTGACCCACAACACCAAAAAGAGCTCTAGTATATATTTTCCTCTGAGGTGGATGTGAAAAGTGTAAATTTTGTAACAGCCTTAGTTCTTTGGTTCAGTTCTCATACAGTTTCATGTCAGTTGGATGTTGTGATTAATAAAAGCATTTTTTTCTCTGAAGTTGCGGAACTGTATCACTGCCAAAAGCAAAAGAGAAACTTGAGACTGAAGAGAGATTGAAAAAATAACACTTGCATTGCAGTATTTCTTGCAGTTGTGTGTGATGTGTGTGTGCTTCATGGGAGTGCTGGAGGAAGCCCCCAGGAAGGCCCTGACTGGCATTTGTACTCCGTGTACACAGAGGCTTGGGGTTCCTTGGAATAGTAAACATGCAGTGTATGAGTGGGGTTTCTTAGAGTTTTGGGAATATTGTAAGTGTATAAGATGATGCTTGAAGGAGGCAGTTATTTTCCTGGTTAAATAAGAAAAACCCTAAGGAATCCTGGGGGAATCATTTTAGAAATGCTTTGAATAAAGAAAAGGAAGTAGCCTTACAAATATGAGAGGACAGGGATAGGCTTGAAATATTTTATGTTAATTTTGCTCTTCTGGAATCTAATTTAGGAATATAAAGGCAATAAAACTATACAAGAGTAGAAAAACAGAAATGTGTTTAAATCTTAGAAATGGGAGTAATTTGTAATTTGTAAATGGTAAAACCACGGGTGACAATAAGAGGATGACATTCATTTTTCTGGACAAGCTCATGGGTAAATGGGACAACAGCATCCCTTAGCAATAGTAAAGGAAATTGGAAGAGTAAGAAAGAAATGAGAAATTTGCTTCAGATTTGAAGTTAGGCGAGGCACGGTGGCACGCACCTGTAATCCTAGCACTTGGGAGGCAAGCAGGAGGACTGCTGCAAGTTCAAGGCCAGCCTGCACTACACTGTGAGACCCTGTCTCAGAAAACAAAAAAAGAAGAAAAAGGGAAAAAAGATGGCAAGTTAGAAAGGAATTGGAGGCACTCGGTTGTAGCCAGCTGAGGGTGAGAGTGGAGTAGCTGTATTTTACACTAAGAAATGAAGACCGAAAAATAGATGGGTTAGTTAAGAGCAAGGTAGAACATTAGATTTGGTTTATCAGAGTGAGGAGTGTAAGCAAGGGAAAAACCAAGTGAATAAAAAAATTTTGGATTCTGAGAAACCAGTCACAGTTGTGTGATGGAGAGGATCTTTGGAAGAACCTGACAAAGTAGAAATAGGAAGGTTTCCCCCACTTCTCAGCCTGACAGGGTGAGTGATGAAGCTGAGCGGCTGAAGCAGGAGGGTCACGAATGGGAGCCATAGCAATTTGCTGACCTAGTGAGCGCCTGTCTGAAAGATTCAGAAAGCTGTAGACACAACTCAGCTACCCCCCAGATCTGAATCCCACAAGGAGTATTGAACTAGGAGATAGCTCCAAATAAATTCGTAGTCTTTAGGAAGAGAAAAAGAAAAAACCTGCAGCTTTCATAAATGAGAACAAAGGCATTGGCTTTCCTTGGCAGTCTCGTTTACAGAGACTGCAGGGTGCAAGGGACTGTGGCAGTGTGGCTCTTTATTCCTGCCTGTTAGTCCACATTTGTTTCAGCTTTCTTTCCCAGGATGGTCCTGATTTCGCAGGTGGGTGGGCAGTGTAATCATGTGGGCCTTCTGGTGTGGAGGGCACAGATTGCCCTTCTGGAAGGCTGCCCTTAGCTGCTAAGCCCAGCCTCTGCCCAGCCTGTAGTTGCTTGAGGAGGGGTTCAGTGCCACAGGCCTGTTGCCAAGGCCAACGCACTGCAGACTTTGCCCGGCAGATGGCGGTGTTTCTGCAGAGACATTACCAACCATGAGGCCACCGGTTACACCCATGAGGCTAAGTGAGCCAGCCACAAAAGAGAAAAGTGAGTGTAGTTCATGTGGCCCCAAAAGCAAGCACCAGGATGTTGTAAGGGTCAGGGGAGTTTGAAAAAAGTGACAGTAACTTCAAATGAAATGCACCCATCTCTGTCCCTCTTCCTGACTTTATCCCTTGAGTCACGTTTTTAAAAAGTGATTTGGGTTAGTTTTTCCAGCAGCAGTGTGAAGACTTTTACTTTCAGATCTTTTTTTCATTCCTGTCAGAGTTTAAAAGTTAAAATAGTAAGTGCCAAAACAGTTAGCTGTTCTGCCACCCACTCCTGGACTATAAAGTGATTCTATCGGAAGTAAAATTCATCTTTACAAATTGAATCCACATTCATTGTTAAATATTAAGTGTCTGAATGTGCACAATTCCTCCACATTGCATCTGTTCAGAGATTACAAAAAATTAAATACAGTACTAGCAAGTGATCCGCAGAGAACACAGATCCAGCGGCTTTTTACCAGGAAGTGCAGGAAACGTGGCCATTGAAGATGGGGTGCATAGGAAGCCAGGGAAGAGCAGCCCATGCATATGAAACTGCAAGGTGTTGGCTGGTGCCTGGACCTTCCAGCCTGCTGCCCCAGGGTCGGGTTGCGATGGAGTGTTACTGTGGCGGGAAACCCCCAGATGTTGAGCAGAACATGCTATGAGTGGTTTACAGTTTTAAGAAATTCTTTGTGGGGTAAGCAATGGGTTATAGATACACAAGAGTGAATGCAGGAATACCTGGCATGGTGGCACACCCCTGTAATCCTAGCACTCCCACAGGATGTGGCAGAAGAGCAAGACAGAGCCCAGCCCAGGCAACTCAGTGATATAGTTAGTTAAGACTGTCTCAGAATAAAAGAGCCGAGAGAGATGCAGCTCAGAGAGAAGGCCCTGGGTACAAAGTTGAGGGATGGCCAAAAAAGATGAGTGCAAAACCAGGTAGGTGTATCAGCGTTGTATGCTAGAACCAAAACCTCTTTAGGGGTATTTTAATCAGAAAGGAATTTAAAATGAGTAAGATTAGTTGCAGAATCAGTGGAAGGAGAATAGCTAGGTGAATTACCCTAGACTTGCATGTTGAAGCAAACCCTGTGGTGGGGCATTTAGGAAGCCTGCCCTCAGCGCCTCCACCTGGAAGCTGGCTAGATGCTGCTTCATTGTGGCGTCTTCAAACAGGACCTGTGGTGTTGCTTAGCAACAGCAGTGACCTTGGGAAGGTTGCCTCTGTTATGCTTCTCTTTACAACTGCTACAGCATGTCATTGACAATATCCAACTTCCTTGGCCTGATCTTTTTTTTTTTCAGGTTGCCAGTTACATGTTTATAGAAAGATAATCCCCTGGCTTTAAATAGCTATGTACATACAAATATGAACAAACTTAAAAAAATACAAACCCTTGGACAGCAAGGAGGCTTGTGAGAACTCCCCTGTCATTCTCCCTTACCCAAGGGCAGAGGACATGAGTCTGCTTTTTAAAAATTATTAATTTTGTCTTGGCCTGATCTTTACTGAGGGAACCAAAGACTCTGCATGTAAGGTCTTCCAGTTCCTCCAATTAACAGGTAAAATGGCACTTGAGAGAGCCAGTCTGCTGAATCTAAGACAGAAGGCTGTTGTAATCGAAGTAAGGGATAGTAGTAGTTTGCTTTAGGATATAATAGTCCAAATAGAGATGGATGCGTTTAGAAGTAGTTCAGGGACACCAATGACGGTCCTTGATGGATTGGATTTGAAAGGGTAACCTCTAGACTCAGCTTAACTAAGGATAGATGCTTAACTAGGGATAGATGGCCCTACTGGAAAAATAGCTGATGTAAATGACCAAAGAACAATCGAGTATAAGTCTAGAATGCAGGATCCTGGCCTGGCCGGAGCAGATTTCAGAGCTCATTGGCACAGAGACTACTAAAAGACAGACATGACAGTCTGTTGACTCTGTCAACACATGGCATGTGTGCCACGGCAGTTATTTGTATTACTGAAACTTCTAAAAGGTTCGGCATCACTGACAGAGCCTTTGGTTCCCTCAGTAAAGATCAGGCCAAGGAAGGAACCAGCAAAGGAGGTGAAAAACAGCTGGATACTGAGGAGTGGAAACCAGAAGCCTGGTAGGGGAGGCGGTGAAGGTGAGGTGTGCTCACACTAGATGCTGCCAAGAATCCAAGGAAGTAGAGGTAATGTGACCCTTGGGTTGGGCAGGGGTGATCTCAGTGGAGTGGGGGGGGGGGAGAAAAGGTTAGTTCACATCAAAGAGAATATGAGATCTTGCTAAAGACTTGTCAGATTTTGCTGATATTTTCAAAGAACCAAGTTTTGGTTAGGCAAACTCATATTTGATTTATATCTACTCTTCATCTTTCCTTCTGCTTCCTGTGGGTTTAGTTTGCTCTTTTTTTCTAGTTCCTTTAGGTGGAAGGTTTGAAGTTGTTTGAGGATTTATTTTTGTGCAGTTTAGTTCGCAGTGCTGTGTGTTGAACCTAGGGCCTTGCACATGCTATGGCTTAGTTACATCCCCAGTCCTACATGTGTTCTAACACAGGCATGGATACACCTCTAAATTCCCTGTGCTGCTCTGCTCTCACTGTTCCTGTACCTTTTGGGACAGTGTGTGTTTTGTTTTTCAGCATGAGTGACCACACCCAGGGCCTTGGCTTCTGAGGCAAGCACTGTACACAGTAGCTGCATATGCAGGCTTACTATGTCTGTGTCAAAATATTTCCTTCTTTCCTTCCCTTGTGGTTTGTTCCTTGATCTGCTGATGTTAAGAGTATATTGTTTAGTTTGCACATATTTATGGATTATCTAGAATTCCTGTATTATTGCTTTTATTGCATTACACTTGGAAAACATACTTTGTATGATTTTGACCTTTTTACATTTATCACTTTACATAAAATATGTCCTACAGAATGTTCTTTGTGCATTGGGGATAGTGACAGGTGAAGTGTTTGATATGTATTTAGGTTTGTTTGAATCTTCTGTTTCCTTGGTGTTCGTGTTGCTCTGTCAGTTAGTGATCATGGAGTATTGCGTTCTCCACTATTATCAAATTGTCAGTTTCTTCCTTCATTTTTATTTAAGCTTCATATATTTTGGTGGTCTCTTGTCTTGGTTGCTTGTTTGTTTCTAGGACAAAGTAAACGTGCACATTTTTTTTGGTCTTTTTGAGACAGGGTCTTGCTCTGCAGTTAAGGCTGGCCTTCTGCTCACTTTGTAGCCCAGGCTGATCTTGAGCTTGCAAATGATTCTCTTGCCTCAGTCTC